ATCGCTTGAGCCCAGGAGTCTGAGGTTGCTGTGAGCGAGGCTGACGCCACGGCATCACTCTAGCCTGGGCACAGAGTGAGACTCTGTCTCAAAAAAAAAAAAAAAAAAGAACAACCCTGAAAATGCTCAGATGCGGGGGCCGGGAGGAGTCGAGTGCAAACGTTGAAGTCAGAGCCCGGTTCGAGTCTTTCCTCCATCCTCGCTGTGTGACCTTGGACCTGTGTCTGGCTGTCTCCTGAGCCTCAGTTTCCTCACCTGTCAAGTGGGAGGATAACAAGCCCGGCCCTGGTGTTGTATCATTCAGTGATCTGATCCAGGCGAAGGCCTCTGGTGCCGCCTCCTGCCTCAGCCTCCCGAGTAGCTGGGACTACAGGCATGCGCCACCATGCCCGGCTAATTTTTTCTGTATATTTTTAGCTGTCCAAGTAATTTATTTCTATTTTTAATAGAGACGGGGGTCTCCCTCTTGCTCAGGCTGGTCTCGAACTCCTGACCTCCAGCGATCCTCCTGCCTCCTGCCCCCAGAGAGCTGGGATGACAGGTGTGAGCCGCCGCTCAGGTGGGTCTTTTTGCCCGACAATACGCGCTGGCTGCCTTGGGCCCTGGGGAGAAGTCTGAGTGGCTGGGCCTGGCATTCGAGGCCCCGCCGGGACCGGGCTCTAAGAGATTTACACATAAGGCTCGGGAATCGGACTTGTCATGAGCCCATTTTTGGGATGGAGAAACCGAGGCCCAGAAAGGTCCGTTTTCCTGCCTCTCGGGTCCTGCTCTTTCCCCCCGCCCCCCGGGCTGTGACCCCGCAGCCCGGCCCCGCGGCTGCCCCACTCACCCGGCCTCTCCCGGCCCGTGCCCTTGCTCTCTGCAAACTTCCTGAGCAGCGCCTCCACGCTCACGTTCTCGATGTTCTGCTTAAACTCCTCGTGCACCTGGGCCGGGAGGGCGGCGGGGTGAGGGGGGGGGCCCTCCTGCGGGCCCCGCCCGGCCCTGCACGCCCGGCCCGGCTCACCTGCCCGATCTGCACGTGCGTGTCCTCCACGGAGTGGGCGTAGGAGCCCAGCAGCGCCTTCATGTGCCTCAGGTGGGCCTCCTCCATGGCCTGGAAGCGCTGGGGCAGGAGGGCAGGGGCAGGTGGGGAGGTGCAGCCAGGCCAACATGCCCCGCCCCCTCGCCTGGGTGACTGACTTGGGGAAGAGCCAATGAGAGGCTTCCCTGGGACTTTTGCTGAAACTGGGAAAGCAAGCGTTCAATCCTGGGCCGATGAGTCGGATTTTAGCGGGGGCTGCTGGTGGCGGCCGCTTTGCTGTGCGTGCTACACACACACGCACACACGCACACACACACACATGCACACGCACATGCACACGCACACGCACACGGGCATGTCCTCCTGGGAGTGAAACCCCCGGGGAGGAAAACAGATGTGAGAAGCAGAGGCACAACTTGCTGCCAACAGCACTGGAGCACCGGGATCTAGCCACGCCTGAAACCTCACCCGCCCCAGAAGGCCTCGGTTCCCTGAGCCTGTACATCTCCTTGTTAAGGGAACAAAGGTGGCTATCGCTTGCAACTCGGAAAAAAAAAAAAAAATTCTGCTTCCTAATCCTGGGATTCCAATCTGTGTTTTGTGCCTTTAGGTGGACAGAGGCCCACGGAAGTGCGGCATCCTGCGAAGGGTGGCGGAGCTGGTGACAGATGGAGGCTGTCCCGCAGAACCGGGTCTGCCAGCCGCCCGGAAACGTCAGGACACTTTCGGCTTTTTAAACTCCGCCCCGTCTCATTCAAAAACCCAACCATCAATAGTAGAAATAATCATCACAGCTCGTGGAGCGGTCTCTACGCATTGGGTCTGCAAACTTCACATAAAATGACCCATTTTATCTTTTTTTTAGAGTGAGTGCTGTGATGTCAGCCTCGCTCACAGCAACCTCCAACTCCTGGGCTCAAGCGATCCTCCTGCCTCAGCCTCCCGAGTAGCTGGGACTACAGGCATGCACCACCTCGCCCTGCTCATTTTTTCTATATATGTTTTCAGTTGGCCAATTAATTTCTTTCTATTTGTAGTAGAGACAGGATCTCGCTCTTGCTCAGGGACCCCTTTCATCTTCACAACAACTCTAAGAGGCAGGTACTCTTCTCCACTTTACAGATGGGGAAACTGAGGCACGGGATTAAATTTTTTTTTTTTTTTTGCTTTGGAAACCCTAATGCCGCCAATGACCACAGCAGACTCTAAACCTATGACTCTAAGCAGCCCAGGGCCTCCGAGGCTCTGGACCTCTGAGCCCCGCGGCGTCTGGAAGGCGCGCGCTCGGTTCTCACCAGGGCCGAGTCCAGCATCTTCTGCTCGAAGTCGGCCCGGGCCGAGTTGTACTTTTCCACGGAGCGGCGCAGGCTGTCCGCCGCCTTCTTGGTCTTGGTCTCTGCCTGGGAGGCACGAGGGGAGGGTGGCGGGGTTAGAGTGGGGACACTCTGGGGGGGGGTGTGGCTTTTCTCCTGGTCCCCTCACCTGGCAGGTGGACGCCTCTGGGGACCCGGGCTGTGACCACACACGGGGTCACTGGCCGTCTCTCCGGGGCGCGCCCCGACGGGGCCGTCCCCAGGGGCGGCGGCTGTGAGCCCACCTTGTCCATTTCCTTCTGACTCCCGCTTTCCCTGCGGAGCCGCTCCTGGTCCATGCAGCGGTTCAGGTAGTTCTCGCGGGACTTGGGCAGCAGCTGGCTGACCCCCGCCAGCACCTGCACGGCGTCCAAGGTGCCCGTCACTTCCTCCTTGCACTGCAGGGGCCGGGAGGGGCGGGCGTGAGCGGGCTGGGAAATGCCTGGCGTCCAGAACACTCCACATTGACTCCCAGTCTTTTTCTGAGCATTTTACTAATTTCAAGACGTTTAACATTTTTTAAATAGGTACTTTTTTTTTTTTTTTTTTTGAGACAGAGTCTTGCTCTGTTGCTTGGGCTGGAGTGCAATGGCGTCAGCCTCACTCACAGCAGCCTCAAACTCCTGGGCTCAAGCGATGCTCCTGCCTCGGCCTCCCGAGTAGCTGGGACTACAGGGCCACGCCACCATGCCCGGCTCATTTTTTTTTTAGTTTTTGTAGAGACGGGGGTCTCACTATGTTGCCCAGGCTGGTCTCAAACTCCTGGGCTCAAGTGATCCTCCTGCCTCAGCCTCCCAGAGTGCTGGGATTACAGGGCTGAGCCTCTGTGCCTGGCCCAAATCTCCCTTTAAAAAAAATAGTGGTAAAATACACATAACATAAACTTTAATATCTTAACGATTTTTAAGGGTATATTCAGTGGTGTTGGGTACTACAAACCCTCCTTTCTAGAGAGAGTTAAAAGTACACAGATTCTAGAACCCTGTCCCTGCCCGCCTTCTACGATTCCATAGCAATAAGCTTCAGATATTGTGGGTTCCCAAGGGCCTAAGCCTTGGATCTTCCAAGATTTTCGCTTTGGAAGAGTCCAGAAATGTTACATATCCAGATCTGCAGCTTTCTTTCTTTTTCTTTTTTTGAGACAGGGTCTCACTGTGTTGCCCAGGCTAGAGTGAGTGCCGTGGCGTCAGCCTCGCTCACAGCAACCTCCAACTCCTGGGCCCAAGCGATCCTCCTGCCTCAGCCTCCCGAGTAGTTTGAGACTCAGGCCATGCACGCCACATCGGCCCGGCTAATTTTTTTCTGTATATTTTTAGCTGTCCAAGTAATTTATTTCTATTTTTAATAGAGACGGGGTCTCGCTCTTGCTCAGGCTGGTCTCGAACCCCTGATCTCTAGCGATCCGCCGGCCTCGGCCTCCCAGAGTGCTGGGATGACAGGCGTGAGCCACCGCGCCTGGTCAGATCTGCAGCTTTCAAAGCTTTCAAAATAGAAAGAAATTGATCTACCACCTAAAAATATATAGAAAAAATTAGCCGGGCATGGTGGCGCATGCCTGTAGTCCCAGCTACTTGGGAGGCTGAGCAAGACGCAGCAACGCTTGAGCCCAGGAGTCTGAGGTTGCTGTGAGCGAAGGCTGCCAGGGCCACTCATCTTAGCCTGGGCAACCAAAGCGAGACTCTGTTCTCAAAACCAAAACAATCGTAGGATAAATAAATAAATAAACCCGCTTCCTGTCAGACGCTCGTGCAGCAACGGAACGACGGCTGACCGCGGCGGGCGAGTCCGCCGATTGGCCTCCATTCCGAGCGTGGAGTGCCGGCCCGCCGGGGTCGTGCGCGGTCTTGGGTTCGCGCTGTGGGCGGTCGCGCGGGCTCCGAGCGGCTCTGGCGGCGAGGGTTGGCGGGGTTCGAGTGCGGCAGCGCTCATGGCCACCGTGCGACCCCCGCCCTTGCGCCCGCCCTTGCGCCCGCGGGGACACGCACCTTCTTGTGCGCCTTCAGCTGCTCGTCCCCGTAGCGGAGCACGTCTTTGATGAGGTCCTGCAGCTTCCGCGTCAGCTCCAGGTGGCAGAGCGCCAGCTTGTCCGAGGACACGCGGAAGACCTCCCAGAGCGGGGCGAAGGTCCTGCGGGCACGCGGCGTCACGCGCGGCGCCCGGCGGGCAGCGGGCCCACCCCCCGCGGGGCCCTCGGGGGCGCCTGCTGCGCGCGCGGGGCCGTTAATCATTCCATCCCCACCGCAAGCCTCGAGAGGCCGGCCTGGGACAGGTGGGGAAACCGAGGCACGGGACTTCCCATAGCTCGCCCAAGGCCCCTCCGCAAATGACCCTCAGAGCTGGAGTTTAAACTCTTGCCCTCCCGACAGGAACCGTGCCCGGCAGCGGCCGCCGGGAGTTTTGCCAAACCCAAGGGGACACGGGGTGTCCTTTTTTAAACGTCACGTGCGTGTCGGGCCCTGTGGCCGCTCCCATCTCCCCACACCCCAGTCACGCCAGCCTGCCCGATCTTTCTTTTCTTTTCTTTTTTTTGAGACAGAGTCTCGCTCTGTCGCCCAGGCTAGAGTGAGTGCCGTGGCGTCAGCCTCGCTCACAGCAACCTCCAACTCCTGGGCTCAAGTGATCCTCCTGCCTCAGCCTCCCGAGTAGCTGGGACTACAGGCATGCGCCACCATGCCCGGCTCATTTTTTTCTCTCTATATATTTTTTGCCAATTAATTTCTTTCTATTTATAGTAGAGCCGGGGGTCTGGCTCTTGCTCAGGCTGGTTTTGAACTCCTGACCTGGAGCGATCCTCCTGCCTCGGCCTCCCGGAGTGCTGGGATGACAGGCGTGAGCCACCGCACCCGGCCTCCCCACTCTGTCTTGAACACGGCAAGGGCGTCGCTGCCTCGGGGCCTTTGCACGGCCGAGCCGCCCGCCCGGGTCTCTGTCCCTCAGACGCCCCCGCTGCGGCCAGTGACTCCTCCTCGTTAGGGGCCCAGCCCACAGCCCGGCCCGCGCCCCCCGGAAGTGCCGGCTCTCCCGGTCCCCGGTCCACTCCCTCCCTGGCACTGTCCTCCCCGGAGAGAGCTCCGCGTGGGTTTCGCGCGCCACACCCGGCGGACGGGCCGCGGAAGCCGCTCAGTGGCGGCGGAAGGAATGAATGAAGGAGCTGGCGAGAGAATGAATGATACGCATGCCCCTGTCCCATCGGCCCCATGCAGTGGGCCGGGTGACACCTGCTCCACCCGACCCAGGCGTGGCCGAGGGATGCTCCCCGCCCCGGGCCCGCGGCCGACTCACCCCACGGGCGCGCCGTTGCTGGCCAGCTTGGAGAGCTTCGCCATGGCCTTGGAGTACGTCTCCTCCACCGCCGCCCTGGGGGCAGGGCGGACACAGCACGCTTAGGGACGCTTGTAGGAGGGGCGCCACCGCCCTGAGCCTCAGTTTCCCCACCGCAGGCATCTGAGAAGTCGCTCTCCGATGGGGGCGGAGGTGACGCGAAACCCCGGGGTGGGCGGGGGACGTTTTGGGAATTCACAGCAGGTTTCTCCTTCCGCGAAACGCTCTGCCAGCGACAGCAGTGACCGCAGGGGCCGCGGGGGACTTTTTTTATCTGAGACAGAGTCTCACTCTGTTGCCCAGGCTAGAGTGAGTGCCCTGGCGTCACCCTCACTCACAGCAGCCTCCAACTCCCGGGCTCAAGCGATCCTCCTGCCTCAGCCTCCCGAGTAGCTGGGACCACAGGCATGCGCCACCACGCCCGGCTAATTTTTTCTATATATTTTTAGTTGGCCAATTAATTTCTTTCTATTTATAGTAGAGATGGGGTCTCGCTCTTGCTCAGGCTGGTTTCGAACTCCTGACCTCAAGCGATCCTCCTGCCTCGGCCTCCCAGAGTGCTAGGATGACAGGCGTGAGCCACCGCGCCCGGCCAGTGGGATGTGTTTGGGCACGGACCGGGAGGCAGGCTCCGTGCGGTCCGGCTCATTTAGTCGGAGGAAAAAGGCGCCTCTGTGCTCTTCCCTCTTGGGGGACGCTGCTGAGTGCCCGCCTGAGCCCCACAGGCACCCTGGTCCTAACAGAGCCTCGGTTTTTTTCGGGGCGCACATGGGAGTGGAGGTTGCCACACGGCTCACGTTCCTCGTGTTTTCTAGAACGCGGCGTCTGCCCACCGGCGGGCTGGGACGTGGGTGCTCCCGTCCTGCTGTTTGCGCCGATCATCTGGAGGGGCCAGGTGGGGTTTCCGATCCCCCCAGGTAGGTGACGATATCTCGTCCACAGGAGGAAGGCATCCGAAAACAAGGGATTGTCGGTTAGAAGCAGACGTGGGGCCGGGCAAAGGGGGCTCTCGCCTGTCATCCCAGCAGCCTGGGAGGCCGAGGCAGGAGGCTCCCTTGAGGTCAGGAGTTCGAGACCAGCCTGAGCAAGAGCCAGACCCCGTCTCCACTATAAATACAAAGAAAGTAATTGGCCACCTAAAAATAGATAGAAATAGTTAGCCGGGCGTGGTGGCGCATGCCTGTAGTCCCGGCTACTCGGGAGGCTGAGGCAGGAGGATCGCTTGAGCCCAGGAGTCTGAGGTTGCTGTGAGCTAGGCTGACGCCACGGCACTCTAGCCCAGGTAACAGAGTGAGACTGTGTCTCAAAAAGAAAAAAGAAAAAAAAAAAAAGACAGGGACATGGGGCTAGAAGGGGACATGGGGCCGGCAGGGCTGAGGATGCCTGGTGTCCGGGGTCTTCAAGCCCCTTTGGTTCCCAGACCCCCCAGGGATGTAGACCCGGACTGAACAGGCTGTGGTGTGGCCACGAAAGGGGCGTGGCCTCTGGCGGGTGGGGCTCGGGGGGCCTCACCTCTCCCGGATGAAGTCCGCCAGCTCCTTGGTGGAGATGGGTCCCTGCTTCACGCTGTGGTACAGGACCTCAAAGCCATGGTTCTTCTCGCCCTGCAGGGGATGGGGGTTGAGATTCAGAGAGAGGCTGTAGGGGACGTCAAACCTGCCTAGCAACAGGGGCGTGGCCAAAAGAGCCAACTAGCAGGAGTCCATCCCCTTGGCTGTAGGGATAGGTTCAGGCTTAAGCCAATCAGCAGGTTGCATTTCCCCCGGCCACAAGGATTGGTTCAAGGGCCTTGAGTTGGTCCAATCAGAGAGAAATCTGGGATTTTTTTGTCCCATAGTTGAGGGAGGTCAACCTCATGTGTTCATAGTCTCTTTGTCTCTGTCATTGTGTCTCCCTCTCTGTTTTCCTATGTCTCTCTGCCTCTGTTTCTTTTTCTTTTTCTTTGTTTTTGAGACAGAGTCTGGCTTTGTTGCCCAGGCTAGAGTGAGTGCCGTGGCGTCAGCCTCACTCACAGCAACCTCAGACTCCTGGGCTCAAGCGATCCTCCTGCCTCAGCCTTCCGAGTAGCTGGGACTACAGGCATGCGCCACCATGCTCGGCTGATTTTTTCTGTATTTATTAGTTGGCCAATTAATTTCTTTCTATTTTTATAGTAGAGACGGGGTCTCGCTCTTGCTCAGGCTGGTCTCAAACTCCTGACCTCGAGCAATCCTCCCGCCTCGGCCACCCAGAGTTGCTGGGATGACAGGCGTGAGCCGCCACGCCCGGCCAACAATTATATTTTACTGCCAGCCAGATCTTGTCACCTGCAAAGGGCGTCACCTGTGAACTAAGCCGTCCGCCAAGAGGGGCGATCAGCTGGGGTCCCAGGGAACTGGAGACATTTCAGCACCAAACGAGGCCGTGCCATTGAGACCGAAAGAGGAGGTTTGCGGGGGGATGGGATACTATTTAGGTCCCGACACAAATCGCTAAAGCCACCCCCTTGGCAGCACTGGGCAGGCTCTCTCCATAAATGGCAGTTCCTCCTTCTCCTCCCACCTGCGGGTTCCCCCCCACCCCCCGTCCCCCAGCTACCTGGAGGCTTCGAAGGCTAAAGCCAGAAGCCACCACTCGATAACCCCTCTTGCTGCAGAAACCGAAGCCAAGACTGGGGCAGACCCAGGTCAGCCTCAAGCCCAGATCTCCCGATGGTCACCCCCTCATTCTAGAACCATCAATGGCTCCCTACTGCCCACCGGCAACTGAAGTCCAGGTCCTTGGCCTGGGATTTTTTTTTTTTTCTAGCCTCGTCTCCTATGCTTTTTCCTAACCTTGCCGGCAAGCCAGAAAGGAGCAAAGACGTGCGGCGCCTTCCCACCCGGACCCAGGGCATTCCTGCCGCCAGCCCGCCAGCCTCTCTCTCCTCACGCACGTCCAGACCCTTCCACCTTCCCAGACTCCCTTCCCTGCAGCTCCCCGGCACCGTCCTTTCTCTCCTTGCACCCTCGGAGCTGCACTGTCAGGGTTCAAGGGTCAAGTCCCTCCTTACGCGCTTTGGGTTGGTGACTTCACCCCCGGGCCTCCATTTCCCTCCTTGTCTGGCGAGTGGGGACAAAGGACAGCAGCCGACCCCCAAGGGGCTGGGGGAGAGGGGGCTGCCCCTCTCCCCGCTGGCCCCGGGGAGCCTGGGAGGAGGCTGCGCCAGGCACCGCCGCCCGGGCCGGCCGGCATCTGCGCCCGACTCGGAGCCAAGCCCTGGCCCGTTTCCCAGATCCGGCATCCCGGTCCGTGGCGTGTGCCCCTCGTGGACTGGGCTGGCGGCCGAGCGTCCAGGAGGGGCCGCCTGGGGCCCGTGTCTCCCGCCAGAACCCCCCAGGTCCAGGTTGTGCCCCGTGCCGGCCTGAGTAGAGTCTTCCCGACAGAGCTTGGTCGCGGCCCTCTCCTGCTGCTCTCACGATCCCCATGGCTCCCTAGTGCCCTGGACACCTCTGGCCCCCGCCTGGCCCAACAAAACCCGGGGCGCTGTCGCTGCCGTCAGGCTTGACCTGACCCGGCGGGAGCCTCCCACCGGCCATCCGGGCCGCAGCGTCTCCCAGCTACACGGCTCCCGCACGAGCGACTGCTGAGAAGACACCTCACGGCGGCCAGACGCGGTGGCTCACGCCTGTCATCCCGGCGCTCTGGGAGGCCGAGGCTGGAGGATCGCTCGAGAACAGGAGTTCAAAACCAGCCTGAGCAAGAGCGAGACCTGTCTCTACTATAAATAGAAAGAAATTAATTGGCCAACTAAAAATATATAGAAAAAATGAGCCGGGCGTGGTGGCGCATGCCTGTAGTCCCAGCTACCCGGGAGGCTGAGGCAGGAGGATCGCTTGAGCCCAGGAGTTGGAGGTTGCTGTGAGCGAGGCTGACGCCACGGCACTCACTCTAGCCTGGGCGACAGAGCGAGACTCTGTCTCAAAAAAAAAAGCAAAAAACAACAAAAAAAGAAACAAACGTCAGGGGAGCCCCCGTCCAGGAGTGGGGCAGGAACTTCCCTCCGCATTCCCAAACGGCGAGACTGACCCTCGGATGGATGGGTGGGGGGTTCCCAAAGCCACCTGCCGGGGGGCTCCGGGCAGACAGCCCCGTTCGAACCCTGAACCCGGAGCCTCAGCCACCGAGCTAGGGCCGTCTCTGGGCGGGGCAGGGGCGCGGCGGCGGCTTCTATTTTCTCCCCGCTGCTCTGAATCCTCTGCGGGGAGGGGCGCGCAGGCCTCGCGCAATTGGAAGAGAACGCAAGACACGCGTGGGCGCCGCTGTGGGGGCCCCAAAACTCGGGCGGCTGCTGATCCCGAAATGGCCCAGCCCGCTCCCTGCACGGAGGCGCCAGCAGGGGCCCAGAGAGGCCCGGCCCCCGCCTGGGGCTGCACAGCGCCCCGGCACAGGACAGTGTGGGCAGCCCGGCCCTGGCACAGAGGGCAGAGGTCAGACCTCCGCAGGGGGGGGAAGGGGGCGCGGCCCCTTTAAGAAAGCAAGTGCCAGGAAGAGGAGCCCCAGCTGGAAACGGAGGGAGGGAGGGAGGGAGTGGGGCTGGTTGCCAGGGGCAACCGGTTGCCTAGCAACGGGCTTCCTCCGGCAAGCTCAGGGCCTGCCACCGGGGAAGGGGCTTCTGTGGCCCTGTCCCTCCCCGACTCCCGGGCCCTCTCCCCGCCCCGGTGGCCTCTCCCCGTCCCTCCGGCCGTCCGTCTGTCCGGCCCTGCAAGAGGAGGGTCCCTGTTCCCTGCCGGGCCTGGCTGTCCTTGTACAGCGGTAAACATGGCTCCCTGTCCCGGTGCGGCCCCGTGGGATGCTCAGCCCTGACCCTGCAGGCCGGGCCGCCCAGACTTGGGGACCGCCTCCCCCTTGGGGGCCCGGGCTGGGGGGGCCTCTCGGGGTGTGGGGGGGTACCAGAGTGACGCGCGGGGCCTGAGGTCGTGGTGGCCGGCAGGGAGGGAGGGGGAAATCAGTGAGCGAGGACGAGCCTGTCCCCCTCAGCCCCACCCGGGTGGGCCGGGGCAGCAGAGGGTCACAGGGGGCGCGTGGGGTCGCGCCCAGAAAACCCCCAACTCCCCGGCCGGCGGGGCCGGGTGCGGGGAAATGCCCTGGCTGCAGTCGCCCTGGATCGGGGAAGTCCGGTCCCCTGGGCCGGGTTTGAGCCAGCGAGCGAGCGCTCTGCACTTCCGCACTGGGCACGTAAGGCCGGGAAAGAGATTCCTCATCTGGGCCTCGGTTTCCCTGCGGTGCAAGCTGCCACGTGGCCGAGGCCACGGGGCCTGGGAGGTCTGGGGGTGTGGGTTCAAGCCCAGCCCGGTTCTCCCCCACTTTAACTTCTATGCCCTGCAGACCCGCCACCCGCCCAAGACTCTGCCCACGACATGCCCAGCCCCCCGTCTCCGTAAAAGTCCCTACGGCCCCGCTAGGAGCCCCCGCCAAAACAAGAGTAGGTCTTACCCAAAAATGCTCCCCAAAATACGACATCCCGATGGCCTCTGTGGGGACCCCCCAGGTCCCTGTCCGGTGCCTGCCTGCAGAGAGAGGCGAGTTTGAGCCACAGGGTGGTGGCCAGTGTGGGCCCGAGGAGGGGAATGCCCCCGAAGTGGAGGCAGGAGAGGAAGGCTGGAGGAGGAGCAGAAAGCCCCAGCGCTGTGAGCCTGCCAGGGCCCCGAGATAATTCACCCTTGGCCCTGACACCAGGTGGTTCCCAGTCTAGGGGGACAGAACGGGACACAGATGCCCCAGTCCCATAGGGCCAAGGCTAGACTAGGCAGAGGGACAAGGGCCAGGGCAATCCAGATGGGAAGAAAGGGCATAGAAAGTGGGGTTTTTAAGCGTGTATAAGAGTTCATGGGAAGGGGTGAGAGCAGCGTTAGATGAGCCCCAGCCTGGGCAGAGAAGCTGTGAGCCATTTCGCAGATGGGGAGACCAAGGCCCACCCTCCCCCGCCCCCGAGGAGGGGGAGCCACTTGCCAAAAGTCGCAGAGCCAGGAAGTGACAGGAGATTTGCACCTTGCACCAGCTGAGCCCAGATCTGGGCTCTCAGATCACTCCAGGCGGTTCCTGCAGGGAAAGGGTTTGGTGAGAAGGGGGGTCCCCCGGGGTCCCCTGAACCCCTCTGCGCCAGTCCCCACCTCGTGGACACGCCCAGGACGGAGCACCCCCCGTCACGGTGGTGGCCCACGGGCGCTCCCACACCCCGTGAGCCCCCACCCTGCCCCGGGAAGCCAGCGTGTTCACCTGGTGTCTGAGTCACTGTCCAGCTCTGTGCCTCAGTCTCCCCATCTGCAAGGCAAGAGGGAATGCTTAGCAGGGGTCTTGCTGGGGGACGCCGGGCCTCTCCGCACAGGGCTGTGGGCCGGGCCTCCCAGCAGGGGAGGGACAGGCGGTGTCCTTGGCGTGTTCTCCCGGCCGGGCTTGTCACCGGAGCCCGCAGGCCTCATCCATAATTCACGGCCCCTAGAGCGGCTCGGCGGCAGCTGGGAGCCTCAGGGGCACCGTGGCAGCGGGGACAGGGGTCGGTGGCCGCAGGTCGAGGAAGCTCCCTGGGCCAACTGGGAAAGGGCCGAGCAGGATGCTGGGCCAGGCTGCCCCTCTCTGAGCCTCAGTTTACCTAATCTCGGAAGTTGGTTTAATTGGACCCATTGTCATCCGCGGCCTCCAGTCCGGGGACTTCCGGAGTCACCGGGCTCTTTCCACGCACCCGCGCTGGCCAGGACAACGCCAGGGTCCCTGAGGTGATTCAGCCCCGGCCCCGGCCCCAGAAGAATCCTCAGTCTAAGGGGGACAGGGCCAGACAAAGACGCCCCAGGTTCCACATGTTCCGGGGGCTGAGCCACGTGGAAGGACAAGGGCTGGACTATAAAGCAGGGGTCATGGGAGTTGGGGTTTTGAAGCATGAATAGGAGTTCACCAAGTAAAAAACATGATTTATTTCGACGAATGTCGCCACCACCATCGTGTGCCGTGCAATGGTGGGGACCCCGACAACTGCAGGCCCCAGAGCAGCCCCCCGAGGATGCCCAGCCTGTGGGGTGGGGGTGGGGGGAACCCGGCTGGCGTCCTCTAGAGGGATGAGGCCCAGATTCCCACATCGTGTCTCAGCTCTGGCTGCGAGCCGTCCCGGAGCTTCCAAATCCCTCTGAGCTGCCCTGCCTCACAGGGGAGCCACCAGGCCTACGCGGCAACTCGGTTTCGCTTTATTTTTTTTTTTTTTTGAGACAGAGTCTCGCTCTGTCGCCCCGGCTGGAGTGCCGTGGCGTCAGCCTAGCTCACAGCAACCTCAGACTCCTGGGCTCCAGCGATCCTCCTGCCTCAGCCTCCCGAGTAGCTGGGACTACAGGCATGCGCCACCGTGCCCGGCTCATTTTTTCTACACATTTTTAGTTGGCCAATTAATTTATTTCCATTTTTTTTAGTAGAGACGGGGTCTCGCTCTTGCTCAGGCTGGTCTCGAACCCCTGACCTGGAGCGATCCTCCCGCCTCGGCCTCCCAGAGTGCTGGGATGACGGGCGTGAGCCGCCACGCCTGGCCCCAATTTTAAACCAAGTGAAATCAGCACGATCACACACCGACTCCTCCGTTTACCAGTCTCTTTCTTTCTTTCTTTCTTTCTTTCTTTCTTTCTTTCTTTCTTTCTTTCTTTCTTTCTTTCTTTCTTTCTTTCTTTCTTTCTAAGGGCGCTGGCGGGAAAGGACACACCACCGGCCGCTGCCTTTCCGAGCCCCACCGCCACGGGGGATGCCCAGACCGGCAAGGCCCCGCCGCCCGGCATCGCCCCAGCGTCCCGGTCCCAACGGCTCACGCGAGGCCACCGAGGCACCGAGAAGCTCGGCGCTGGCCCCCCGGGGGCAGCGATGGGAGAACTCCCGCCCACTCGGAACCCACCCTGGCCTCGGCCCCCGCGCCCCCTGCCTGCTCCAGCACCCCCGGCCGCGACAGGGTGCCCGGCCGCCAAGGGAGCCCCCAGCGCGCAGGCCCTGGCCCGGCCCAGGAAGTGGCACCTGCTACTTCCCCCCACGGCCACGCCTGGGGCCGGCCGGCGGGTCCCCTCTGTCCCGGGGGGCGGGGGGCGCACGGTGCCTGCCGGCCGGGCTCCACTCACCCACGGGGCGGCGGGGACCGGGCCCTCCGAGGGGCAGGCGCCACTTCCGTCGTTGGCGCCTGTGTGCATGGTGGGGACAGGAAGCCGCCCCGCCCCACCCGCCACCCAACCGCCGCCTCCCCGCCCCCGCCCGCCCGCCAGCACCCCTGGGACCTCCCTGGAGCCACACAGGCCCCGGCAGGGTGACCTGCGGCGCCTGAACCCGGGCCCCCCGCCGGGGACCGTTACTACCGAAAGATTAATAATCCTGACGACAGCCGTGAGACAGCAGCACCCACCCCCCAGCACCGACCCTGGCCTCGGCTGTCGAGAGCCGTCCCAAGGTGGGCCGATGACAGGCACGTCACAGACGGAGAAACTGAGGCTCAGAGAGGGTGAGGGTGACCCGCTTAGAATGGGGAAGGTGCTTTTTAAATTTTTGAGACAGAGTCTCACTCCGTTGACCGGGCTAGAGTGAGTGCCGTGGCGTCAGCCTCGCTCACAGCAACCTCAGTCTCCTGGGCTCAAGCGATCCTCCTGCCTCAGCCTCCCGAGTAGCTGGGACTACAGGCATGCGCCACCACGCCCGGCTCATTTTTTCTCTGTATTTTTAGTTGGCCGATTCCTTTCTTTCTATTTTTAGTAGCAACGGGGTCTCGCTCTTGCTCAGGCTGGTTTCGAACTCCTGACCTGGAGCGATCCTCCCGCCTCGGCCTCCCAGAGTGCTGGGATGACAGGCGTGAGCCACCGCACCCGGCCAGGGAAGGTACTTGTACCTTTTCCCTCCGTTAAAGACATCTAAATCGTATTTTACATCTGCAGCGGCACAGAGACAGACACATCAGCATTACAGATGGAAATGCTTCCTTCCACCTGAAAATTCACGGTTTTTGTTTTGTTTTGTTTTGTTTTGAGACAGAGTCTCGCTTTGTTGCCCAGGCTAGAGTGAGTGCCCTGGCATCAGCCTCGCTCACAGCAACCTCAGACTCCCGGGCTCAAGCAATCCTCCTGCCTCAGCCTCCCGAGTAGCTGGGACTACAGGCATGCGTCACCATGCCCGGCTCATTTTTTCTATATATATTAGTTGGCCAATTAATTTCTTTCTATTTTTAGTAGAGACGGAGTCTCGCTCTTGCTCAGGCTGGTCTCGAACTCCTGACCTCGAGCAATCTGCCCGCCTCGGCCTCCCAGAGTGCTGGGATTACAGGCGTGAGCCTCCTCGCTGGGCCAAAGTTCACGATTTCCTTCCCTGCGGCTGGCAAAGGATCGAAAACATCGCCGCTGCGGGCCCCTAAAGGCACGGTGAGCCCGGGGACTGGGCGCTCGCTGGGCCTGAGGGAGCAGTGGCACCCAGGGGGCCCGGCCTGGGCAGCGCCAGGGCGAAGCCCAGAGACTGCACGGAGATGTCCCAAGGCCACACAGCAGGCCGCCCGCTGACCCAGGGCCCCGCCGGCCTCCGGGCACCAGGTCTGCAAGCCTGGCCGGCTCGCGCAGCCTGGGAGCGGCCGGGACGGGACAGGAACCGAGTCAGCAGAGGCGGCGGCTCGAGCTCCCGACCCTGGGAACCGGGCGGGCCGGCGTCCGGAGCCCTGACCTCTTCCGGCTGCCCCCCGCCTGTCTGGCCCCACGGCCCCCAGGATCGGACCCAGCCTTTTCTCGGGCGCGGACTGCAGCTGGCGCACAGTAGGGCCAGTCTGGGGGCTCCTCTTCCTTCCCAGCCACCCGCCGGCTGGCCCGCCTGGGCGCCCCGCCGTTTGTGTGGCCGGCCCTCTGGCATCTCCTTCCCTGGCTGTGGTCACTTCCACCGTCTGGCTGGATTCCCGCCTTGAGGCGGCGTGCACCCCGCCGGGGAAACTGAGGCACACGTCCTCCAGTCACTCAGCAAGTCGGCCACTGAGTGGGCATCTGGGCTCACGCTCAGGAATTCCTCAGCCCTCGCCACCGGCCACCTCCCTGTCCGTCACTCCGGCTGCAAACGCCCACCGTGCATGTACCTGGCTTTACCGGATGCTGGAGTCTCCCGGCCGGCCCTGACCCCGTTTAGCCAGCGAGCGAGCATGCCGCAATTAATGCTGTAATGACCGTGTTTGCACGCCCGGCCCTCCCTCCCTCCCCCGGGCTTCTCTGATCCTCCCAGAGGGACTCAGCCCATTTCACAGAAGGACAAACCGAGGCATGGAAGGGAAAAACCACACACACACACACACAGAGGTAGAGGCCGATCCAACCTCCCGGGGGTGCTGAGCTCCCGGCCCAGTGCTCGCTCCCAGGCTCGCTGCCGGGATGGAGCACCAGGAGACAGGGCCTGGGCTGGCCTGGCGCCTGCCACCTCCTCCTGCCCAGGGCCTCTCCCAGAGCAGGCTCGCCCCTGGCGTGGGTGACGGACGGTATGTGGGTCAGGGCGTGCCCCAGGCGGCACCACCAGTGAGGCCAGGGCGGCTCGAGCTCCTGCTGCAAGGACGGTGGCTCGGGCACATGTTTCACTGGCTGGCAGGCCAGCCCCCCTCCCCGCCCCCAGCCCCCGTGCCAGCCAGCGAGCATCAACCCATTTTGCAGTGCGGTGCACTGAGGCTCGGGGGCCAGCCAGGCACGTGGGGCGGCGGGGCGGGGGTCTCTAAAGCCAGCGTCCTCTCCACCCCAAGCCACCCACACCTTAAGCCACAGAGTAGAACCACGATGTGACAGAAGGTAGGACGCAGGGGCTCAGAACCTGCACCGTGTCCCAAGCTCCCAACCTCGATTGTCAAAAGAGGAAACCAAGGCTCGGGCAGGTGTTGTCACCTGCCCAAGGTCACCAGAGAAGCAAGGTCCATTCGAGGCTGCCTTTTGGTCCCCCGGGCGCCCGGCTGGGGCAGGTGACTGGGGGAGGGGCCGCCCACCCCCGCCCCTCCTCCGCACCCCGCCCCAGCGAGCCTCCGGCAAGACCCTGATTTACCTCGGTTTATTTTAAGCCCCAGGGACAGATGCTTGCTGGGCCCCCGCCCCCCGCTGAGAGAGAGGGTCCCCCACGTCCAAGCTCCAGGCCCTTCCGGGCCTTGCCTGGCCAGGCAGGGCACCCCACGCCGACCTCCTCCCCAGAACACCAACCTTGGGGTCCCCAGGGAGAACGCCGGTGAAACGCCCCCATCCCGTCCTTGAGGCGGGGGCTAGCATGGGGCAGCCTAGGGCAGGGGCCAGGGGACCCCGAGTTCCTCCAGCAGCCAGGCCTGGATAGGGGTTCTCACCCCGGAGCCAAAGGAGAGTGGGTCCCCCGCCTCTGTCCCTGGGGGTCCGCAGGCCGCAGCCGGGAGGAGGAAACCCGGGGGGGGGGTCTCCGCGTCCGCACGGGGTCCCCGGCTCTACCCGCGGGGAGCGGCGCCCGGCTCCCTGCAGCCCCAGAACCCGAATCCTGATCCGGGCTTAGAATAAAGGGACGTGGGGAGGGGTCTCACGTTGCAGCCGCCCCCCTCGCGCCCCGGTGGCAGGCAGGGGCGGAGATTTCGGAGGGAGGCTCCCCATCTCTCCTGCTGAGCCTCAGGCTGCCCCGCGGGTGGGGAACCGGAGCCCACCGCGCGGCCCGGCCCCTGCCGCCACCCGCGCGGCCGCCGGGGCTGCGGCCCTTTTGGTGCGGGGCTGGCGGGGCTGTGTTGTTGTCATAGGGCGCACGGGGAGGCCGGCGCGGTTTTGGTGTGTTGCCGTTTTGACTGGGGCGCCTTCTCTTGGCGCGTTTTGTGTTGTTTCGCCCACTGCGCTTCGCTCGTTGTCCGGCGGCGCCTGTGTGCCTCTTTGGGCTGCCTGTGTCAGCGGCCGCCGGCTTGCTTTCGGGCCCGCCCCCGGGAGGCGTGGCCCGGGCAGAGCCCGCCCCGCGATGGCGCCGGGAGGCGGGGGCGGGGCTCCGAGTCCGCGCGGCCCGCCGCTGGGCCACTTAGGCGGGCCGCTCCGCCAGCCCCGCGCGCTGATTGGCTGAGCCGGAGACGGGGCTGGCCTTCCTCCCCACTCCGCCACCTGCAGTTCATTTGCATAATTTAAAGAGACAGGTGCAGCTCCTTCCGCCTGAGACGGGAGGGGAGGGGAAGGGGCGAGGTGGGACCAGCGTTTATTGAGCGCCTACTGTGTGCCAGGCTCTCGGCTGGGTTCATTTGATGACCCCACCACCACCACCACCGGCCTTCGAGCGGGACATTATTGATGCTTATTTGACAAATGGGAACAACCGAAGCTCAGAGAGGGCAGGGACGTCCTGGGAGGCCACACAGCAAGTCTGCAGCCGGGTTAAGGAAGCCCTGGGGTCCGGCTCCCCGGCCTGGAGAGGGCCATGCCCACAGGTGCCCCCACGCCATGTGACAGACAATTCAGAGATGCTCCTGTCCTTTTTGCCTGCACCCTGATAAAATAAGGCTGCGGTCTCCCACTCTGCACTGCACCTCGGGACCGGCCACGGGGCTGACCTGGCCTCGGGCCTCTCCTCCACCTGCCTCCCCCGCCCAGTAAGGGCAGCCCAAGAGCCTTCCCTGCGAGTCCCTGAGAGCCCCTCTTCCCTTGGCCAACACGTCATCCTGCAACCCCAGTGTCTCCGAAGCACCCCGAATCCCCATGTTCCCGCACCCCACCACGGTCCGGGTCAAGGCTGGGCCACCTCCAGCCTGAGTGCAGCCTCAGCTTCCTGCCGGCCCCTTGTTTCCCAGCCCTGGCCCGGATGGGACGGTCCCAGCTGCCCAAGACAGCTATAGCTGTTTTTTTTTTTTTTTTTTCTTTTTTGATAACCTTTTTTGTTTTAGAGCAGTTTCAGATTTACGGGATTATTGTGGACGTAGCACAGACGGTTCCTGTAGACCCACACACCCGGCCCCCCTTTATTAAATCTGACATTCGCGTAGTGCACTTGCTGCAATTACTGAACCCATACGGAGGCATTATTATCCACTGAAGTCTATACTTGATTCAGATTTCCCCACTTTTTCCCTACCGTCTTTTTTCTGTTTTGTTTTGTTTTTGTTGTTGTTTATTTCAGCGTATTGTGGGGGTACAAGTGTTAAGGTTACATATATTGCCCATGCCCCCTTTCCCCTCGAGTAAGGGCTGCAAGCGCGTCCACCCCCCAAACGCTGCACATCTCACTCGTTGTGTTTGTGTACGCCCCTCCCCTCCCTCCTCCCGCCCTCCCGCCACCCGATCGATGTTCCTCCTGTGTGTCCACTCAGGTGCTGATCCGTTCATACCAATTTGCCGGTGAGCCCACGTGGTGCTGGTTTTTCCATCCTTGAGATCTACTTCACTTAGTAGAATGCTTTTTGTTTTCGTTTTAGAGACAGGGTCTGGCCCTGTCACCCAGGCTGGAGCGCCGCAGTACGACCACAGCTCCCTGCAGCCTCGAACCCCAATCATTCCCCCTGCTGGGACCACAGGTGTGTGTCTGCCACCACCTCCCGGCTAATGTTTCCTATTTGTTTGCAGAGATGGGGTCTGGCTACGTTGTCCAGGCTGGTCTCAAACTCCCCACCTTGACCTCCCGACGTGCTGGGAAGACAGGTGTGAGCCACCACACCTGGCCAGGATCCCACATGACATTTGGTCATCGTATCTCCTTAGGCTCCTCTGGGCTGTGACAGTTTATATCAAACTTGCTTGTTTCCGGTGTGTCCCCCGCCCTTTCTACGCTACCTCCTTGGGAAAGAAGCCGCATGCGCAGTCTGTACCTGAGGAGTTATGTGCCTCTTCCTTGCGGATGGAATGGCCACATAAATCATTTGGAATTCCTCCGCATAGGGGCATGCCCCCGCCCCCGTCTATCTATTCATCCAATCAACGATAGCAGTGTGGACTCCTGGATATATATATATATATATTTTTTGAGACAGAGTCTCGCTCTGTTGCCCAGGCTAGAGTGAGTGCCGTGGCGTCAGCCTAGCTCACAGCAACCTCAGACTCCTGGGCTCAAGCGATCCTCCTGCCTCAGCCTCCCGAGCAGCTGGGACTACAGGCATGCGCCACCATGCCCGGCTAATATATATATATATATATATATATATATATATATATATATAGTAGTTGGCCAATTAATTTCTTTCTATTTATAGTAGAGACGGGGTCTCACTCTTGCCCAGGCTGGTTGTGAACTCCTGACCTGGAGCGATCCTCCCGCCTCGGCCTCCCAGAGTGCTGGGATGACAGGCGCGAGCACCATGCCCGGCCAACTCCCGGATATTTATTCTGCACTTTGTGTTTTAATCCAACAGGGCGGAATAGACTGCGTCGCTCAGATTGTTTTAGCTTTGGCCGCTGGGCGCTCTTTCAATTGTTTCTCCCGTCCCTTTGCCATGCCTCCATGTCGTGTTTTCCTCCTAGCATGGCCTCGCTTTGTAGCGGGACGAGATGCCCGGGCTCATCTCTGGTATCCCCGCCCGGTCTGAGCGGCCTCCTCCCGAGAGCAGCCCGGCCAGGCCCTTCGACTGCAGGACGGAATTAGAAGGCACGATCCGGCAGCCGGAGGGCTTGTCGTTACTGGGGTGTCATAGCTTCCAGGCCCTCGTGGCAGACGGAGCAAGGAACTACCGTGCTTCCCCGAAAATAAGCCCTACCCACGCGATAAGCCCCGCATGTGCACTCACCTGCAAGTATTCCAGCCCTTCCCGGCCTGCGACTTTCCACTTCGAAAGTGACACACCTGGCCCCACTGTCCGCCCTCCCACCTCGGGGCCGTTCCATTCCCGGGCGCGTGCGCGGCGGTCCCGGGATGTTCACCCCGACCCGCACGGGGTGTTTCCAACAGAAACCGACCGTCTTCTCCAGCTCCGAACCCCCCTGCCGCCCAGGCACCCTCCGTCAAAACCCCAGCCCCTGAGAAAGAAATGAATTGGCCAACTAAAAATATATAGAAGAAATTAGCCGGGCGTGGTGGCGCATGCCTGTAGTCCCAGCTACTCGGGAGGCTGAGGCAGGAGGATCGCTGGAGCCCAGGAGTCTGAGGTTGCTGTGAGCGAGGCTGACGCCACGGCACTCACTCTAGCCCGGGCGACAGAGTGAGACCCTGTCTCGAAAAGAAAAGAGAAGAGAAGAGAGGAGAGGAGAAGAGGAGGGGAGGGGAGGGGAGGGGAGGGGAGGGAAGAGGAAAAGAACAAGACAAGACCTCCAGCCCCCTCCCGGCTGCCCGTGGGGTCTGGCCCTGCCCTAGTCCCTGTCCTCCTCGCCCTCTGCCTCACGGCCTTTGCCCTTGCTGGGACCTCCGCCCGGAGCACTCCCTTCCCAGCGCCCCGTCTGACTGGTGACCTCCCCCACACCTTGAGCTCTTCACTCCTATGCGGTCCCCTCCTCCGGGAAGCCCTCCGTCTGCCTTCCCAGGCTCCTGAGCACCCACCCGGCCTTCCTTCCCGCCCGGTGTTGCCCCTGAGACCGGGGCTGGCGGGCTGGCCTCCGCCCTCTCCCAGCCGGAGCTCCCTGGAGCCCTGGCACCACCCGCAGTCCCCAGAGGGCTCCCCTGCGGTCTGTGGCTGTGCGCCCACATCCATCCCTCCCAATCCTGTGCCGGGGGGCGGGAAACGATCCCTGTTTTAAAGCTGTAGAAACTGGGGCTCAGAGACAGGAAGCTACTCTCCGAGGTCACACAGCAAACAGGAATCCGAGTCAGGACTCGAGGCAGGAGTGCTGGTGCCAAAGATCTCACCTGTCCTGGCCCCGGGTCCCCAAAGGTGCCCTGGGGGAGGGGAGGGCAGGGGCCGAGCAGGCCAGGGAAGGAAACTCAGGGTCCAGTTGCCACCAGGACAGCACAAGGACCCCCCACCCCAAGATTCAGGGCAACTTTCTTATTTCCGAGACTGGAGAAGGCAGAAGCACAGAGAGGTTCAGTAACTTTCCCAAGGTCACCCAGCAGCGCTGCCAAGCCAGGACACAGTCACGGTTTCCGGGGCACCTGCAGTGCGCAGGTGGAGCCCGTCCTTGGCACTGGGGACCCGGCAACCACCGAAACGGAATGGGTGCGGCTCGCGCCAGCTCACGGCGAGGGGGAAGGGAGATCGTACAGATGCAAGAGTCTGACGGGGCGACAGGCTAGATAGAGGGGCACACAAGAGGGTGGCGCTTTGTTTTTTATTTATTTATTTATTTTTGAGACAGTCTCACTGTGTTGCCCAGGCTAGAGTGAGTGCCGTGGCGTCAGCCTCGCTCACAGCAACCTCAAACTCCCGGGCTCAAGCCATCCTCCTGCCTCAGCCTCCTGAGTAGCTGGGACTACAGACATGCACCACCATGCCCGGCTCATTTTTTCTACATATATTAGTTGGCCAGTTAATTTCTTTCTATTTATAGTAGAGACAGGGTCTCGCTCTTGCTCAGGCTGGTTTCGAACTCCTGACCTTGAGCAATCCACCTGCC